CGATGTTTGAATTCGTATAAATAACTGCGGATAAACATAATCAAATTACTTCGTTATTGTACATAAATTAAATTATAAAAAATTGGATTAAAAAATTACTCAAAAAAATGAGGAATTTCAAATAGTTAATTTGATACTAATATCGATATATTTTTATCAAATTTTTATGATATCGTCAAACATATATTTTATTYAAAAATAAAAACATCATCGCTTTCTCAAAATCACATAAAACCATATTATAACATCGACTGAGATAAAAAATAAAATAAAATATTAAAAACACTATGTATCTCGCTGCATTGCGCGAGTACGCTTCTAATATATATATATATATATATATATATATATATATATATATATATATATATATATGAAATGAGGCCCACATTGTAGACAAAATATTCCCATGCTCTAAAAGAAAAACAATAAGTTACAAAGAAAATTAAGTACATTTTTGCCAAAATGGGTGAAATAAACACTGAATATCCCACTCAAAAGTGTGATGGAGACATTTGTGAATTCCATTTGCGTCCACCACCCATTCACATGTTCAAAAGGGCCATGGCTAAAAAAGCTGCCATCATAATGCACAAAAACAATCTCATTATACTGGTTTAAACGACAAAATTTTTATTTTATGAAATACGAAAATATTTTTGAACTTTTAAATTAATAAATCTATAATAAAAATTAGAATAAGTAAAAAAATTATTATTTATTAATAATTTATAATTATCTTAGATTTTTTTATCTCTTAAATGTTGTTGAAATCATCGAAGATTTTTTATGACGATGCCTCCGTTCGTAAATAATGATGTGATAATAATAGGATAATGAACAGACAAAGCCAATGATTGTGGACGTGATCTTAGTTTTCGGTTTATCACATCATAAAAAGTTTTTGATTTATCAAAGCATTATCACATTATTATCACAAGAAAATCATATCATTATCAACAACAGATGCATTGGCATAATACGTCTTAGATGATGCTAGTAATAGTTAATGGATAAATAAAAATATAAGATAACTATAATTATAAATTGTTGAAAAATACTAATTTTTATTATATATTCTAATTTTTATTAGGGTTGTTGTTGAAAGGATTAGTGCAGAATGATTAAGTAGTCAAAACAATTAAGAGACTCTTATGATATAGTGCAAACTGAAATATAATCGGTTGGTAATTGTTTACAATGAAATTAGGACGCTGAATGGTTAAGGGAGGCTCGGGATACAAAATCATTTAAAGGGTTTTAGAATCATTAAGAGACATATTTTTTTGTCAAATAAGATTCACATATTAATGATTCAAATGTTGCATCTTAATGGAACTATTAAAAGGTAAACAAACAACACTTAACTTTAATAGCAATGAAAAAGACAACATTTTTTGAAAAAAAAATAATAAAATATAAAAATAAATTGTCAATCTCTTCCAATCTGGCTCACCTAGCAAACCAATTTTCATTAAATAAAACTTATTTAATTAAAGAACTGATTTTAACAAAAAAAAATTATAGATTACAAATATATCAAAATTCAAAATTTTAAATTGCCTATAAATAAAATCTAATATTGATATTTTTTTATACAAATTTTCAGTTATATGATAAGTTTT